GTCATTTTTTTCTTTTTTTTGAGACAGAATCTTTGTTGCCCTCGGTAGAGTGCTGTAGCGTCACAGCTTACAGCAACCTCAAACTCCTGGCCTTAAGTGATTGTCTTGCCTCAGCCTCCCAGGTAGCTGGGACTACAGGTGCCCACCACAACACCCAGCTATTTTCAGAGACGGGGTCTCACTCTGGCTCAGGCTGGTCTCAAACCCGTGAGCTCAGGCTCACCTGTCTCAACCTCCCAGAATGCTAGAATTACAAGCGAGAGCCATTGTGCCTGGCCTGGTCCTCAGAGTTCTAAGGACCACAGAGGGCGGTCTTGAGACCAAGAAAGGCTCGTCATAAGAAAGGCAGCTTTGAGGACCTTGAACCCGGCTACATGAACTGACCTCAGGTGTAATGTTTGGAGGCTTGAAAAGCTCTCAGCCTTTTAAATAGATCCTAACAAAGGGCATCCACAAGGCCAGAGAAGCTCTGAAGAAGCTGACCATCTGTCTGGGGAGGGAGGAGCTGTCAGCCAAGAGAATCCAGCTACTGGTACAGAAATATAAATTTTCTAATTTCTTTTTTGGTTTTTTTTGAGACAGAGTCTCACAATGTCGCCCTCAGTAGAGTGAGATGGCATCACAGCTCACAGCAACCTCAAATTCCTTGGGCTTAAGTGATTTTCCTGCCTCAGCCCCCCAAGCAGCCCAGGGACTACAGGCATCCATCACAATGTCCAGCTATTTTTTTGGCTATAGTTGTCATTGCTGTTTGGCAGGCCCAAGCTGGGCCCAAACCTGCCACCTTTGATGTATGTGGCTGGCACCCTAGCCTCTTGACCCACAGGTGCTGAGCCAAATTTTCTGCCTGATTTCACAGAGGAGTCATCTTTATAGAAGGCAAATAGTTGCTTAGCTAACAATTGCTTAAAATAATAAAATAGGTAATTTTGATTGATAGTCTAATAAAATTCATATATATGTGCATATTAAAAAGCTGGCAAATATAAATTCTGCTTCTGTCTGTGCCTATAGGTTCCTTTGTCTATACATGTGATATGTTTGTGACATTTCATCACCAAAATATGCAAAACAACTCTATTGGCTTAAGGGGGGGAGAAGCTTAAATAAAACATTTTATTTTGGGCAGCACCTGTGGCTCAAAGGAGTAGGGCGCTGACCCCATGTGCTGGAGGTAGTGGGTTCAAGCCCAGCTCTGGCCAAAAACTGCAAAAAACAAAAAAAACCCAAACATTTTGTTTTAGTTCTTCATCTAAGTGAAGAACTTAGACAGCTTTTCATTCATGTGACCTTTTAAAATTGTTACTTAAGCCCAAATAGCTTATGGTCATAAAACTGCTTCTTCTAGAATATTTCTAAATTTTGCTAGATTTAAATGTGAGCTTATGTTGCTGGATTTTGAGCCTCTGAATTCGGGGTCTGGATAGGGGACCATGGTGGGGCCTGGGAACATGTTCTCAGTGTCCAGAACAGCACCTACAAGGCAGAACCTAGCCCTCGTGGTCTCTTCTTCCCTGCCCCCAGCTTTGCCCTTTGGCTCTTATTGGAGGAATTTGATTTTCCAGTCATCCTGTTTTGTTGTTTTGTTTTCTTTCTTTTTTTTTTTTTTTGAGACAGAGTCTCACTATGTTGCCCTAGGTAGAGTGCTGTGGCATCACAGCTCACAGCAACCTCAAACTCTTGGGCTCAAGTGATTCTCTTGCCTCAGCCTCCCTAGTAGCTGGGACTACAGGC